TTCTTCAGGGTGATTCCACATAGGAACCTTCAGGTTGGCTCACCAGGGCAGATTAGCAGGTTAAGCTCTCCTAGAGCTTCAGGCTTGAGACTGGTTTCCTGTGATGCAGCTCTCCCAGAGCTTCAGACCAGAGACAGGGTTCCAGTGAGGCAGCTCTTCCTGAGCTTCAGACCAGAGACAGGTTTCCAGTGAGGCAGCTCTTCCTGAGCTTCAGACCAAAGACAGGTTTCCTGTGAGGCAGCTCTTCCTGAGCTTCAGACCAGAGACAGGTTTCCTGTGAGGCACAGACAAAGGAGAGATTAGAATCAGATCTCACACTAGAGACAACCAAGATTCAATCTGTAACAGAAGGCTCAGGAAGCTAACCAACTAAGATCAACACTGCGGCGTGGAAGCAAGGTCTGGCAGGAGCTTATAAAGGGGAGGTCTCCTGATGGGTAAATTAACAACAGGTGTGCAGGAAGACTCCAGCCCTAGGAGACACACGGCGCACTCTGCAGGAGACAGAGGGTAATCTCCAGGTCCCAACAGTAACTCCAGCCCTAAGGAAAAAATACAAAGAGCAGAAGAGGATCCTCGGCGCCCTCTGGTGGGCAAGCCTGAGGATCCCAACAAAAACTGTGATATATCTATCCTAAAACAATCAAATAAGTTATAGATCATAAATGGACCCATAGCAGCGACTTAGTTGTTTTTTCCACCTTGGACTGCCTTTCTCATAATTAGGTTCCTCCATGTTCCCATCAACTCTAACCAGCCCCCCTGCCCCTGCTGAAGACAGCCATTCCAGAGTATGATGTTGCCTCCACCATGTTTCATTGTTATACTCTGAGCCCTTCCCATGGAAGTGACATTTATATCTACGTAGGTTAAACTATACATATGTGATTGGCCATGGCTAAACCAGGAACAAGTTTATCGTTTTAATTTATTTTAAAGTCCTGAAAAAGTTGCACTATTGTTCTATATAAAGGTATTTTACAACACAACAGTACAATATTTGTGTTACATCTGTTTGACATCCAAAACAATTTTGACAGTAACACACTAAGTGTAAATCTAAAAGAAAGAAAAAAAACCCTGACATGTACAAGACTAGGAAATATCTGCTGTGTATAAGTATATTTATTTTTTGCTTTATAATTTTTCATATGGAGGTTGGGATTAGGACCTTCGAATAGCTACCATTACCCAGCTCTTATTTTTTATCTGAAATTATTTACAGGCATTTTTTTTTTTTTTCTATGAATGCTCAATTGCTAGCTTCCACAGTCTGACCTCTATTTTCTTGTGTAGTGGAGGACTGTTCAGAGATCTGCTGCTATTATTTAACTCTGCTCCAGTTTATTCAAGTTCTTTTCACAGCTAGGTAAATATCAAAGCTGTGACCATTTATTTTCTCTACTTTTCCCTACTAATCCAAAACCCTTGCAGCCACATAAATGTACACAAACTGTTTGTGTCAGTAATAAGTTTTCTTTAATAGTCTGTTTTAATCTACAAATATTACAAGCTGCAAACTATGAAGAAGTCAGGCGAAGATGTAGGTAGAAGTACTGGTTTTACATTGCACACTTAAAAGAAAAGTCCAGCTACTCAAAGGGATAAAATATAATTCCTTGAATTATATCGTCATTAAGTAACAATAGTGCAACAGTGCCGTTGGGTGCAGTAGTTTGCCCTGCAATCGGAGGGTTGTCAGTTTGAGTCTGGCTCTGGCTTTCAACGTTGTTGTGTCCTTAATCAAGACTCTTCACCTGCATGGTGGTCAGAGGGCCTGGCGGCGCCAGAGTATGGCAACCTCACTTCTGTCAGTGAGCCCAAGGGCAACTGTGGCTACAACGTTGTTTGTCACCATCACTGTGTGACTCTGTGCGTGAATGGGTGAATGACTGAATGTTTTGTAAAGCTCTTTGGTCAAGTCTTCTGACTTGGAAAAAAAAGAGGTATATAGGTACATGCCATTTACCATTTAGCAGCTTGGTAAATGCACAAAGCCTGTTGGTTCTCACTCTACTGAGTGACACCAACACATATGAATTTTTGAAAAGAGATACAACCAACGCCTACAAAAAGAAAATCACAGACTACCTCAAACAACTAGAAAAAGACAAGGTAATTAACCATTCAGTTTATTTTAGATTATATCCAGTGGAGGACATTCCATGCTTATATGGACTCCCAAAACTTAACAAGGAAGAAACACCACTCAGACCCTTTGTCAGCTGCATCAACTCAGTAATATACAACATCGCTAAACAGCTTACTAATATTTTAGCCCCCTTGGTGGGAAACACACCACATAGAAAACTCCAAAGACTGCAAACAAAGTCAAACATTTAAAAATGGCACCAGGAGAAACCCTGGTGCCATGGTGATGTTACTTCTCTTTTAACATGCATACCTATATCAGAGGCAGTGGAAACAGTCAGGAAACGTCTTCAACAAGACAGTGACTACAACAACTGAACTGATTTCACTCCGGACCAGATCTGCATCCTATTGGACCTTTGTCCTTCCACAACCTATTTCAAGTTCAGGGATACTTTTTTTTACAGACAGAATCATGGTTGTGCCATGGGATCTGCTGTGTCACCAATTGTAACCAATCTTTACATTGAAGAAATGGAAAAGACAGCGTTGGACACCTTCAGAGGAACACCACCAAGCCACTGCTTTAAATATGTGGATGACGCATTCGTCAAAATCACACTAAAAGAAGTGGAAGCTTTCACATGACTCATCAACTCGGTTGACCAGGACATCAAATTCACCAGAGAAGATACCATATCTGGGCTGTTTGGTGAGCATGGAAAGAGATGGAAACCTCAACATTGAAGTGTACGGGAAATCCACTCACACAGACCAATATCTTCTTTTTGACTCACACAACCCACTGGAACACAAGCTTTCAGTCATCAGAACCTTACAACATGGTGCTGAGCATGTCCCTACAAAAAAAGAAGGGAAACACAAAGAACAAAAACACATCAAAGATGCTCTTCAAACCTGCGGATACCCACACTGGGCTTTTATCAAATCAGCAAGGAAATCCAAAAGACACACAGCAGAACATAACGTTAGAAGATTAAACACAAAAACATCTCCATCCCATATGTTGCTGGATTCTCTGTAAAAACTCAAGAGGATTTTCTCTAAACACAAAATCCCAGTACAATTCAAACCAAATAAGACCCTTAGACAGAGGCTAGTACATCCTAAGGACAAAGCACACAGACAAAATATGAGCAGAGAAGTGTATGCTGTTCAATGCAGTGAAGAATGCTCCGATCATTATATTGGAGAAACCAAACAACCTCTCCACAGACGCATGGCCCAACACAGAAGAGCCACCTCCTTGGGACAAGACTCTGTGGTACATCCTCACCTTATAGACAAAGGACCAGAATGTTCACATTTTGGAAAAAGAAAATAGGTCGTTTGAGATGGGCATTGCAGGCTAATCAAAAAAGCCAAACAACCCTCATTCTAAAAGGGTGGACCCCTTCGTCCCTTTGCATGTTTTCAAAACAAAAGCAAGGCTTTGTTGGGCTACTGTATAAAACCTTAAACTCAACTTTATTCCTGGCATTTTGAATTGGAAAAAGCTTATTAGATGGGAAGCGAAACATCTTCAAACTTGGAAACAAAGTCCAGTGGATTGTTTTTAATTTTCTTTTTTTGGAATGACTATGACCAGGATCACTGAGAATCTTCAATAACGAACAGATTTAAGCAAACTGATATCTCCATAGATTCAGGGAAGACCAAATGTAACTGCCACTTGGATAAGGTTAAGCTCCCTTTGCCCCTTTCACGAAAAGGCCTTTGAAAGGATTAATGCATTTTTTTTTTTGCCAGTCCTCTTATTGAAATGGGTGGGTATTAATCAGCCTAACTATGTTACCTGGCTGACTCTACCATGTTAAGAGGTCAAAGCTTTGTAACAAGATTGCTTGTTAAGGAGAAAGGTTTGTGACTGAAAAAAGTGTATAAATGGTTTATGCAACCAGCCAGCTATAGTATCCAAAAGAGTAAAGAATTATAAACAAATTCCAATAAAAATATTAGTTGAGATTTAGGATTGGAAGCATTTGCTTGTCCAACAAGATTGATACACTGAGTTTGTCTGACAAAAATGTTGAAAATATGGCAAGCAGAAACCCCCCCAATTAGAATGTATGCAGATTAGGGACATTAATGGCACACCACACAACAGGTTCTCCCATCCTGGTGGGGTCATCTCTGAAAGCTCACACTGGTCCTTGATCATTATGGTCTTCACTTATGATGTATTAATGGTTGAAGATGTGAAGATTTATGAAAATATCTGATGCTATTGTTGCATCAAATATCGCTAACTGGTGCAACATAAAGGGTTCTAATAAAGCGTACTTTTTATGCTTGTGCCTAGAAGTATTATTTATTGTGATCTTAAATAGTTTTTATTCTGTGTAACCATTGTCTCTCCTGAGTCGCTAAATCAAGTTGCTGATCCCAGCCAACAGCAAGCGATACTGCAAAAACAAATGATTCAAACACCTCAGTTTCACATAAATGTCCACTATTATTTTAATTATGGCTTTATTTAAGCACTTAATCTGTCTGTTTGGCTTACAGTAATGTTGGTGATATTTTCCAAATATCAAAGATGCAGACACAGGTAAGTGTTGATGAATAGCTGCAGACACACCAACAGACAGTGACTCATTAGGAGAAGACATCCACCTGTGCATGCACACAGAAACATTACTCATTAAAAAATATAATATTTTGGGATGATAAGCCAAATATTATCTAGTTAAAATGGACCCATCATAGTTGAATAAAAGAAAACTGAAGGGAAGAATCATCAATATCACAATATTGCTCTGGAGTCCCCTGTGATACTCACAGATCTTTCTGTCTGGCCGTGGTGCCCTGAGGTCACACAGAGGTTGTGAAAATATACTCCCCCTCTTGGTGCGATGTAAGCTTAAAGGGATTTTTCCATGACTCACCCCAGTGAATGAAGCATGCTTTGCCAAAGTAAACTCATAACGCTGGTCCAAATCGACACAGGGAGCTGTTTAGGTAGCACAGCAGGAGATTTAAAAAGTTTTCTATCGATTGGTCTTTGTCATTGTTGCTGCTCAATGATTCCAAGAGAAGAAAGTTTTCTATTGGATCACTGCTTCTTTCCTACTGATGTATTAGGCAGCAGGCCCCAGGGAGCTATTTTCCAATTTCTGTTTTTGTTGTTAAATTATCCCTTAAAATGTTTCTACGTGTTCTGTCTGGTTCAGAGTGCTAAGAAGTGCTGTGAATTCCAGGTGGCGTAAGGGATTGGCTAATTTTGATAAATGAGTCATTGAAATGAAGCAGCAGACTTGTCAAAAATATGTCTTATAAAACAATATACTTAAATGTATTTAAATAACAGAAATGTGCTGAACAAATGATTCAATATCTTAGTATTCTTTCGCATTTACATTTTTTTTTTTTTACATTTTGTCAAAAACAAACCTCAATGCATTTTGAGGATTTTATGTTGCAGACCCACACCAAATAGTTCGGAAGAGGATTAGGGTCACTGAAAAAATAAAAAAAGGTAACTAATTTAAATTTTTTGTTTCAGTAAAACCGGAGAAAAGTCAGAATTTCCACGTAAATATCAGAATTCTGACCTTTGTTCTGAGAATTCTGATTTTTTTTCCCCATATTATACTAAAATTTTTTTTTTAAATCTGTTAAATAATTTTTTTCAGTTGCCCTAATCCTCTTCCGTACTATAATATCTTCTTTCATGTTCAGAATTCTGAAATTAAAGTCAGAATTCTGGGAAAAAAGTCAGAATTCTGAGATTAAAGTCAGAATTTTGGGAGAAAAGTCAGAATTCTAAGATTAAAGTCAAAATTCTGAGATTAAAGTCAGAGTTCTGACTTTTTTCCCCATATTATACTGAAATAATCAGTTACCTTTTTTATTTTTCAGTGGCCCTAATCTTCTTGCGTAAAACAGTGTGTAATTCTTAGAAAAAGTTACGTTTTCAAAACTTTAAACATCATAAATATATTAAAAATAAATAAATTGATTTTCTCAGTAAGTGTGGAGAGCATCTCTGAATAGTATTTGTTAAGTTTGTCGATAGTTTCCCAGATTTTGACTTTTACTGCATCCTTCTAACCCTTGGCTATGCTTGGATTTAACCCATTATTTTACCTAAATGTTAAGCTGTCCTGCTGAAACCTACCTGACAGTTACAAAGTATCTTTTAGCCTCTAACAGGTTACAATTTCAGGCCCCTAGTTTGACCCTCAGCAGGGTTCAGGCTAGTAAAGGTTATTTGTGTTGACCTTTGTGTGTGCATGCAGCATCCCTGTGTAGAGACCAGATTCAGAGGAGCAGTTAAAAATACACAAGTTTGCACAAGATTTGTTGTTCTTGATACAATGTGCTTATGATTTTTCTCTGAAGGCATACTGTTGGCTTTAAATCATCTCACTTTATGTCCCATCTGTTCTTTAACCTCACCACTGACCTTAAAAACAGAACCCAGATTAAATACCTTTCATGACAAACAGGCCCCTACAAGTAGGAAGACACCAAAAAAATAAACACACAAATGTTTTTTATATTAATAACATTATTGTAGCTTTTGAGATCAAATAAAAAATAGAATAATTTTGTAGTCTTTTGGGATAAGCCCCTGCTGGTTTCTACAAAGGAAAAGACTGAACATTTTTGCAATTTAAGAAGCTATTTGGCCAATACATATCAGTCAAATAGCTCAAAGTTTTTCAACCTGGTTAGACAGTGTTTGCAAGCATCAATTTTCAGACTATAATCAAGTGACATACTGTAGTCTGGACTATAATCGGGTCACTGCAAAAACTTTATAAGCTTTGATTTGAACCATTCAAATGTTCAATTTGCTTGTTCTTCTAATGGAGGGTGAACATCCACCTTAGTCTGTAGGCAGAGAGGGGTAAGCAAGCTATTTGCATGGATGCAGATGCACAGGTGGTCAGCCTAGCCTGTATACAAGAGATTGGAGAACAACTCCAAGGTAAAGTATGTGATGTCATACCATCATCCTTCTAGAAAGATACTGTTAAAATGAGAAGGATTTGTCCCATTGTAAGGAAGGCTGTAGCGCCCCAGGGGCCTTCTCACCGGTTCTTTTCCTGGGAGCAAGTTATTTACTACTCTTAACTCAAACTGGGTAAAACCATGCAAAAAGGGACTACAAAAACAGGAGTAAAAAAGTAACAGAGTTTATTCCAGATCAGGTCGTTACAGGACAGAGAAAAATGCTTAGAGCTTGCACAGCTGTGGTCTCAAAAATCACGCCCGCAAGCGTCCGGCAAAGTTTGAGCCCCGAACAACATCATCTCCTGCTTCTTATACCTTCTGAGTCTGTGTTGCATCATGTGGATGCTTAGCTGTCCGTATCAGAAACTGACACGCCATCCATGTCTTTAACTCCATGCAGCTTGCTTCTATGCCTTAGGGTTACAGATACAGTACAGTAGCTCACCAATCAGACCAGCTCCAAGATGTGCCCATATCCTGTGTATTCTTAAAGACACGAAGGCTGTCCCAATTAGATGACCTCCGTACACACCGTGAAATCCACAATGTGAAGGAAGGCCTTCTGCTCTGTCTAATCTGACTAACAAAATAACAATGCACATGATGTATAAAGTATAAACCTAACAATACCTAGAGTTCTTCACATTAGCAGTTTCTAAATAAAATAAGTAATTATTTTGCTTTATAAGATAATCCTACCTTCAGTTATATTCAACTTTTATCTACTCTGACTAGCTGTTTGCATCTGCTAAAGAAAAGAGTTGCATTACCATGATGTTGCCACCTCTATGTTTCACCTGGGGAGTGTCAGGCTTCTGCCCTCTGCTTAGGTTTATTTTTAAGTTTATTTGTGTTCTGTGTCTTTGTAGTTTATTTCTACCAGTGCTGAGTTCTTAAATTATCCTCTGTTGCCCCCTTGTGCTTGTTTTCCTTTCCCTTTAGCTTCCTCTCAGTGGGTCCTACCCACACCTGCTCCATATCTGCTGATTAGCTTGTCTTGGTTCAGTCTCCCTATATATACCTCACCTCTACATTCACTCAGTGCTGGTTTGTTGTGTTTGTAGCTTCCTCATCTCGGGCTCCCCACGTGAGTTCTCCCCGACATTTTGGTCATCTGTATTTTGGTTGACAGTATTTTTGTATTTCTGCCTCAGTTAACTATTAAATCTGCAAGACTCAACTCTTTCTCCTGATCTCTGCCTTTGGGTCCTCAAAAAGTTCATCCAACCGTGATAGGGAGTGGTGTGTTCAGGGAGATTTGCTGCTAATTTTGTACAATGCATATTTACAGTTACACATTAGCTTCATCATCTCATTCATTTTAAACACATTTTAAATGTTTTCTGTTTATAACTCCTGTATACAGGCCAGATTTGTCGCATGTACAACTTATGGATGTCTGGTGTTGTGGTTCTATAGAGCTTCCCTATATTTTCCTGCTAGAGCTTCTTAACCATTTCCAGAGCTATATTGTTTCCATCTTATGATAACTTGAAAAGCGCTCCATGAGATGTTAGAGACATGGAGTCTTGTTCATAATCAGACCAAAAAACTTATGTCTTACTTTCTGCTGTGTTCTTTCATCAGAACATCTGCAAATTAACATTCCTCAAAAATATATGTAGAAATATATGAGTATATATCCATATATATATGTCCATTGCAGCAAGAATATCAAGTATATTGAAAATATATGGAAAATGTTCTCTTTTTTTGGATGTATCAGCTTTTTGCCATCTAACATTTCCCAGTTAAGCTTTCAAACCTTTACTATTGTAAGGCTAAGCCTGCCATCTAGTGTTTGTTAATGCTGAACAATGGCTATAACACATTTTATGAGAACATCATAGAAATAGCCTATGGGTAGCTGTTAAGCTTTGCCTACATTCTGCTACAAATTCCTCTTATAATTGTTTTGAAGTATAAAATTTGCAGCAACATGCTTCTGTAACCTCAGGCCAAATGTATGTACACGCTTAATGTAACTGGTGATAGAGCAGAGAGTAACAAGGATTTAGTCAAAATGGGTATAGAGTGAATCTTAATAAATGTTTAACTTTTATGTAGGGATGGCCACATGACATTTGAAAAAAAGAAGAGGGTAAACTTATACAGTTCTTTAAAATCTTTTTTGTCTTCTGTGCAAAATAATTTTGTCCTCCAAAATGGTGAATACTTTGCCAAAAAAGCAGGAAATTGTCCAATATAAAAAAAGAATCAATGCAATCACATGAAAAGAGATAATATAACAAATTATTTGAGCAATGTGGGCTAAAGTACCACATTTTACAAGTGATGTCAAACCTGTCTCCAATCTGTAGATGACTTCCATGTGTGCGGACACCCTGCATATTTCCCTAGGTCATGCATTCCTTTAGTTCACTAAGTTTTTTTAAGCCAGAGGGCCTTATCTCACTTCAGATGATTTCAAAAAGCATATTTCCCTTAATGTTACTTTTAAGGGTGTCTCCAGTAGGTCTGCTTCTTTTAAGAAGTCTGTATTTTTTTAAGTGTTCTCATTAAAAGCAGATTTTATTTATAATTCCTTTTCAGACTTTATATATCCCCAGTTAGCTTGATGTTTTTTGCCAGAAGACTGACAACAGGACACACATGGAGTTTTGAAATAAATCCTCTTTCATGTGCACTTTTGCCATCTACACATGTGTTCTTCATTACATCTTGTATGACAGTCAAAACACTGAAACACATGTAGAAAAATACACCAAAACAGTAAATGGGAACCATGCAATAAAGATTTTTTTCTGTTTATTAATGTAATAACTAAAAAGATGAGCTGCCTTGATTCATTATTTGTCATGGATTTGTTCCTTTTCATAAATAAATGCAAAGCCGATTGAAAACAGTAGAGGGTGCAAGAGCATGCAGCAAAAAAACAGCAGCTTGCAAACAGTTCTTTCAATATGAGAATCAACTTTCCAGTGTTTGTCTAACACAAACATGCACTGGATGAATGTTAACATTTATCTTTTCAGATGGAGAGAAGCAGAACAATTATTCCAACAAACTGGAAAGTCAAGCTGCAAGAAGCAGAGCTTTTTGAGTGAGATAACAGAGGGGAAGTCACAGCGATGGTGATTCCAGGAGTGCATTTCTCACAGTTTCTGCCACAGAAAGAGCAGATGTCCAGGTCACGAAGACTATCTGCATTGTATGTTCTTACAGTTTTCCTTGCTAAAAGATATAACAAAATAATGGTATCGTTAGAAGACTTTGAAATCAAGGATAAAATGAGAAACAGCTTTGGTAATACGATTATCTGCAGTCACACTCACTTGGTTCATAGTAGTCATAAACCTGCAGCACCCCATCCTTTACACGGGCCACTTTAGAGTTTCTTAGAAAAGGAAATTTATAGCAAATCTCTTCCTTGGTGACCTATAAATGATACAAGAATGTTGTCTCTACAATGTAACACACCAATAGGACATAACATCATCAATGCTTGAAAGTGAAGTGCATGAAAATTATCCCAAGTATCCCAAGGCCTCTGTTGCTGGCTGTGTATGATTAATTATGTATCACATTATGGCTCTTGGACATCTTCACACCAAAACAAAGATACATGAAGACCTTTGGTTCTTGGTCAGCCATAGAATCTCCTCCTAGATAGACCTCCAGCAGGCATCCTGATTTTCATGGTTTTGCTTCTGTTTAAGTTTTATCTTTGAGTTTTCATTGGTTTTATTTCCATTTTGTGATGTACTGGTTTTTTTTAATTGTATTTGAGTTCTTAGGTATTCCTTTTTTTTTTTTGCCATCTGTTGCCCTCCTGTGTCAGTCTCCTTTTCCCTCACTCCTTTCTAGACTCCTCTGTTCACACCTGCTCCCAATCTGCTGATTAGCCTGGTCTTTGTTTCTCTCTGCCATATATGCACCTCATGCTTAGTCGCTGTTGCTGGTTTGTCATCATTGCATCCCCTTAAAGTGAGTTTTCCTGGTTTTTCTGTATTATTATGGATTTTGAGGATTAATGTTTTGGGATTTTTGCTTCTGTTGGCCTTAGGGTAATTAAATCTGCAAGTAACCACCTTCAGTGTCTGCAATTGGAACCCTGTCAAACCTCCACCAAACTTGACACTGATGAGTTACTTGAGCCTCCTTGAACTCACACATAATTTCTACTAATACTCTCCAATTATCTATATTTAGTGCAGCCGTTACCTTTTTATGCTCCTTTCTTTAGTCCTCATACAGGTTTTTGCCCAGTTTTAATGTTTAAGTATTACACGTTTTTGCAATGTTATCTTTCTATGTGTGTTTGATTAGTTCTCTCCAGACAAAGTTACTGTTAACCTTTTTCATAGCTTAGAAGGAACACTTGACTTCCATTAAAAAATAAGTTTTTAACTATTTCCACCATTTTTTTTTACTATTTCCACCATTGCTACATTTAATGCAGTCAAACATCCACTTTCACCTCAGCCGACTTGTTCAGGTGGATTTATTAGTGCAAATTTAGAGAGTGAAAGCAGTTGCCAACTTTTTTTCACCGTTTAACGCAGCATCCTGAACTTGACTACATTGTTTTTCAAAGGAGTAGTATGTTAATTGAATTGAATTATTATTGAATTATTGAATTAGACATGTTTAATTAAACCTGGATCAGTCTTTATGTGCTTCGACATTTGGCCTTGCATAAAATATATAAACTAATCTACACACAATGAAATCAAACTTCTTTTGTTTTTAAGAAAAATAATCATCTGCTGAACTTTTGCAGCATCAAATGCATTTTTTATGAGTTTTAAATATATTACACACAGTATATTACATGCAGTCTAAGCCACTAAATATACAGACTTCAGGACTTACAGAATCCAGGTACAGTATGACACCTTCAGGTGTTCTGTCCACTTTCATAATGGAAGTATCAGAGATCGCATCTTCAGGAGCAAGAATGAAACCACTTAGTATCCCCACATCCAATATAGCCATACCTGTACGATCTATTGGCTGATTTTCCTTCAACCTATGAAAAAACACATATGAAAATACACTAGCTTTATACAAATTATACAAATTCTATCAGCATTGTGTATTGTAGAGGTTACCTTGTGCATACAGACAACATTACACCACCGGGCTCCCTTTTATAGAGATTAACATCTAATGTGAAGGCATCATCATCTGGTATTGGCTTGGTGTTGTGTGTGCTGTTCACGTTGTAAAAGATGTTCAGCTGGATGGAATCATGGAATTAGAAAAAAATAGATAAAAAAAGTAAAGATGCTATCCTTTTTAGTTCCCTTTTATCTAGGTCTGCAGACCAGATGTTAGCTGCTCAGTGTTGGTCATCATAGCTAAATTTGCATGTGTTGTTTTGATTCCAGGTTTTTAATGTGAGACATGCTCAGACATTGATCATTCACAGCTGCTGCTTTTAATTTATTCTGATCATGTTTCTGTGTTTAAACAGTCTGTCAGGAGAGCCAGACATAATGGAGGGAGGAAAACACTACTGTTGTTCTGCAGCTGTTTAACTCTAAGATCAGTTTCATATGATAATTTCAGCGATAACTGTTTTAATGAAAACAGCAAACGTTACCTGAAATATGGCAAACCCTCTTCCTTCCATGAAAATATTCAAAGGTAGTTCATTGTCAGGGTTAATCTGATGATATTGAAATAGATGAAAAAAGAAACAACAGTTTAGCTTTTTAAATGCATATGCACAATAGAAATCCAAGGTTTAGATACAGTTGTCATTGGCATGAATGCTATATTAAACAGTTTTTCTAGAAAAATACTGTTTTAGTCATCCCTATACACAGAATCGTGCACAGGTCTTGATTGATTGAGTTTATTGATCTCACAGGGGAGAAATGTACTTGTTACATCAGCTCAAATAGTCCATGGAAAAGAAGAAGTTGCCAAAGGCAGAAAAAGGTGCATGGGATATATACAGTATATATAGTGCATCCTCATATGACAGCTTTTTTTATTTTATTTATTTAAAATATTATTTTATTTCGATCTGAACTCAAGCATACATAAACTAAGTCAATACACCGTTGTAGAGCAAAAGATTTTGGCATGATTAAGCCCCTTTTATCCCTTTAATCATAAATGCTTTTCCTGTCACTTTTGGAGACAAAGCTTATGTAAACATTACAGTTTTGAATATCAATATTCAAATAATATATACATTAATATGCCCCACCAAGTCACATGCTGATTGGGAAATTAAGCCATTTGATTTAGTTATATTAGAGAAGAGCTGCATGGAAAAGTTATCATACCCCTCGACATCTTGGTTTAGGTATTTCTGAATTAGAGTATGTTTTGTTTAGAAACAAAATGCATTAAATTAACTGAAGTTAGCAGCTCTTGTATGGTGTATGAGTTAAGTTAAAAATGGTAGATCTAAGTAATTAATTACATTTAAAGAGCAAAATCATTTCATGACAAGGATGAGTGGAAACTTTTGATTACTTATAGGACATGTGAAGCAAAATATTTGTTAACAAGAGTTATATATGCTCATTTGTTACCTCTTGGCTTTGATAAACCCGATAGTTAGTTGAGTTAATGTTAAATAACATTGCAGTTGAAGATGACGGCGACGATACGTTAAACCTTAGGTTGATGGCATTTGCGCCACTGAATGCAGCGTAATAAGAAAGGGCCTGGAGGGCAATTACTGTGTCCTGCAGAAAATAGAAGAAAAAAAAAAACTAAAAACACCTGAGTTTTTTCTCTAACTGCCATAAAAGAGAGGTAATCAATTAAATACAACTTTCTTAAACCTGTTCTCACCTGAGTCGTTCCAAATCCACCTAGATGGTTCCTCTGAGTACTCAACCACTTCATGAGTGGGATACCTTCAAGGAAGTTGCCGCGCATAAACCGAGCGAGCAGCACATACGAGGCCATCTCAATCTGTGCTGAACTTTGCCGCTGGTTGTTGGATAGCAAGGCTTCAGAGATTGTCCACATCATCACACCATCTTAGGAGAAAATGGAAATGTGATCTCAACACCTACAGTTTTCCAGGATATTTTTAATACTTGATATGTTTAAACACATTTTAAGTCACCTTTCTTATCAGCTCTCCGGTTAAGCTCTGAGAGCACTTCTTCCAGAACAGGACTGTTGGCCAGAGCTAGAGCATAAGCCACCAAACACAGACTGTAGTTGCTGACCACACCACTGGACACTTTACTCTCCAGGTATCTTAGACCCAGAGAAATTTCATCTGCATACATTTCCTTCACACAAAAACAACACAAATGAGTGTCATTATTGGTAAAAATAAAGTCTAAGTTTTCTCTAATGTATTTGGTCATTTTAAATAACACAAATCCCCAATGACTTACAGAATGGTCCCTGTCCTCCAGAAATGCCACAAGTACATAAGCAGTGAGAGCCTCTGGGCTATCATCTGGCCCCTCTTGCATGTTGGTGTGGATAATCTTGCCAACCTCAGTAAACTCTCCTTGGGAACCTTGATGTTTCAAGAGCCAGGCTGTGGCCTTAGTTAAGACTGTATGATCTATCAACATGTAGGACTGAGCCTGGAGGAAGCATCGCAGCACAAAGGCTGTCAGCCTGGTTCATAAACACAAAGCATAGATAAACTATAGGAAGACATCGTAAAAAAAATTATGTCATTATTGGAAATGTATTATTTTAAAATGTAAAGAAATCATGGCCTACCAGATGCTACCTGACATGTCACTTTTTCCAAAAGCACTGAATGAACCGTCATCTCTTTGGTAAGAGAGTTGTTTCTCATAACCTATGGCAAAGAAACCTTGAACAAAACTATCCATAACTGCATAAATGCAAACATTTATTGAAGCTAAACATTTATAAGGAATCCAAATAAATTAAAGCTTTGAAACCTAAAGCGTAACTCATTTCAGAATAAACTTTTTTGCAGATAAACATTAGTAACCTGGCCAATGGGCATTTTTATTTGTGTGACACAACTTTATCTTCAAAATTTCTTAAAGTCAGTCTAATTTCTTAATTTATAAAATGTTTTCAAGGATGTCAGAACAACTGGGAGAAAACTCACATAAAGCAAAATCACAAAGCATTGAAACTGTACGTTTTGTTTTGTTGATCAAACTGTTTATCTATCTATCTATCTATCTATCTATCTATCTATCTATCTATCTATCTAATTTATGCATCATTTACCTGAATCAGACTGCTCTTAATATAGGTGAATCATGTATTAAGTGCAAATAGATGTGTGGTATTGTTATTCCATGACACAAATCGAGTTGCGATCTAATTTACCTTCTATCATGTAGCTAAGAGCTTTGCTGCGTATCCCTGCATCATCCTGGGCTGACTTCTCCAGGTACTGGAGAAAATAGAGACTCGGAGCAAAGCGGATCATGTTCTGCTCTCCACACCCCGTAGGAAGCTGAACCAAAGAATCCAAATGTTCCATTGATAATGCCAAGATATCACCTGTTTGAAGATGAGATGAAAAGCATAGAAAAATTGTTCAAAATAATAAGGATGTTTTTAGAAGATAACCTCAGTATAAAAAAAAATATATATATATATATATATATATATAAGTATATATATATATATATATATATATACATATATAAGTATACATATGTATATATATATACGAGGGCCGTTCAATGCCCCTGGCCCACTTCCAGATGTTTGATTGAGCTGAAATTTTGCATGTGAAGTATTTTAAATCTCTATAGATTAAATAGCAAATTACAGCTCTGAACTAATTGTGGTTTCTGATTTACTGGTGTTGAAACCGAGTCAAGTCTGAGTTTTTGCATTTGAAAGGACGCACACAACGGGACACTTTTGATCAAATGAAAGTAACTTATATTGATAATGTCCCATAATAACCTTGTAAAACATTTTGCAAGGTCATATAACAGGCATCATCACCATAAGTTACTTTAATTTCATCAGAGGTGTGAGTCCTTTCCAATAGAAAAACCAGATGACTGCTTGACACTCAATAGGCTCCATTTCAGACTTTACTCAGTTCAAACACCTGCAAGTCAGAAACCACAAAAAGTTCGGAGCTGCAATTTGATACTTAATCTATAGAGATTGGAATAATGTCACATGCAAAATTTCAGCTTGATCAAACATCTGGAACTGTGTCAGGGTCATGACAAAACAGTTGACAAAACACTTCCTCTCTGCTGTAGAGCCTGGCCTCCCTACTTTAATGTCACTAAAATATTTAATGCTGTATCCCCTTACAGCATTAAAATTAAACATTATTTATTTAAAGTGAAGACATTTTTAGTTACTTTGGAGAAAAGTGAGTGATGAGAAGTAAGCAAAGGCTGTGAGATTTGAAGAGGGAAGAATGAAAAACCTGGAAGAAGATAAAAAAAAACAAAAGGCCCCTAAAAATGCAAATGCTGAAGAAAGAGTGAAAATGGGGAGAATGCTGAAAACATAAGTGGTGAACATTGCAGTTAAAGGGAAACAAAGAAGAAAAGTGATGAAGGAGAACAGGAAGACAGAGTTGAGGATTCAGACCACCTGCTATTTGTTTATTCTTAGTATAAATTCTAGTGTAGTTTTGTTTTCTTAGTAAGTCGTTTTGCTGCAAAGTACTCCTAAACACAATGTCCTGTATCAAGTTTAGCTTTATTTATGTTTTGTAGAGTTCATAGATTCGTATAATAGATTTCTTATGTATTTTGATGAAGAGCCTGAGCCTTGCCCTTCCATTTCGAGTGTTTTATATCTGCCAAGGGCGTTGAGTTATGTTGATTTTGGAAAAATTCCAACTGGATTAGGGGACAAAATTAGATTATCATAACAATTCTACTTATTCAACTCTAACTACAATGAAAAACTGTTGAATGTACACAGAACTAATTATAGACTTACCAACTAGTGCTATATGAGCCCTCTGGCTTCCTGGTACTAGATTAGATGGAAAAGAGAAGGAAACGGACGTAGAAGAGTTCAGATGCCTTGGTGCCACTTCCAGGAACAGAGTGTGAGAGAAGGTCTGTTCAACTCCTCTATTCTATAGGATTATACACAGTTTATGGTTTTCATTGGACTGATGAAATGCCACATTGTAACTTTTACTTTTGCATCAATAGTAAACAGAAAAATGTTTGTTCTTTGCAGCCTTTCGCTTTCACAAGTCGTACCTTCACCAATATTGTTCTAACAAGACTATCTGAAGACTCTGCAGACACAGCGTCCACAGATACTTCTATCTCGCCAACAACCACGGCCCTGATAGGGAATAAGACTGAGGCAGACTTATGACTCCTCAGGTTAAGTGGTTGGGCATTGATGACGGATGCTCCCCTGCGCTCCATTAGAGGAAACTGAAAAGCCTCACTCTGTGCTACCAACACAATCACCTACAAGAAAAAGATAGAGCATTAAAAAAAAAAAGAAACGCAACCAACAGACACTAAACCCAGGCTTGTTTTCTTGGATTGGTCTGTCAAAGATATAAAGAATATGTGTCCATGGCTCCAAAAATGCTTTCAGCCTACCTCAATGTCTTGCTCTAAATGGTTGATGACGTTTACTTCCAGCACAAAGTCCTCCCCTATGATGATTTGTGACGGTGCAACAAGGGACAGAGAGAAATCTTTGGATATGGTCAGCTACGAGTATTCGGACCAACGACACAAACAGAAGAATTAATAGAATTGAACTTGGGTGAACTCAGGTACAAATGATGAAATTTGTGTTTTTATTACCTTTTCTGGGACAGGAGTGAAACCCAAACCAAACTTTTCTGACATTACCAGCGCTACAGCTCCTAAAGAGCTGATACCATCAGGTACTGTTATTTTCCCAGTGGTCCAGCTTTTATCACTAAAAGACATAATAACATTACCTGTACTGTTGTTTTTCTACCACATTCTCTGCTCCTATAAGTCCTGTTAAGCTCTTACCTGACATTTCTGTCCAACCAAAGCAGAGATTCAGCAAACTCCGCCCAGTGCCTCCAGTATTGTAAAATTAACCCGTTGTTTTTATGTGCACCTTCAGGAAGCAAGACCAGAGAGAAGAAATGAAAATGACATCCTGTCTATGAGAAAGAATTTTAAATACTGGTATGTAATAAAATGTCTATTGTAAATAACTTTAGTATGTATGCAGATAAATTCTTACCAGTTTTAGCAGCATCTGTTTGGCTTTTCATAAACAATCTTGCATTGGTCACCGTCTTCGGATTACATCTCTGCAAGAACTAAGAAATATTACTAATCTTACCTTTTACGACAATGTATCTAAAACTATAAAAACTTATGCAAGCCCTGAAGGGTAAGTGAGAAAAAATCAAAATAAGAAAAGTTCTATTTTTTTTTTTTCCTGCCTTGAAAGGCAATTGAAAAAAAAATAAAATAAATTGATTTTAAGTCTTTGTAATACTTTACTTTGCCACTAGAGGGACTTGAGTAAAACCATTGCCCTTCACTGGTGGCTGTCCTTTTTTTCTCTCTCTACCAGCAAACAGCCCAGAAAAAATTATTTGGTGTAGATTTCTAAAAATGTTTTTATTCTCCACCAACAGCAAAAAATAACTTATATCAGCAGGTGTTAGTTACATAAACCAATTTTTTTTTTTTTTTGGTGGTTTAAGCCAATTTATACGCTAGTCTCATACACTAGTTGTTTTTATCGACCCCGTAACAGTTAGCTTCAGCTAGAACCTATTGGATCTAGGCCTCTAGTATCCAATGGTGGGCAACTGACAGTTAAATAGTGTTATTGAAAGCGTTAACTAAGAGTGGTCAGCGTGAACAGTGTCATGGGTTATTACTTTTGCATAAGAAATTATTTTTACATTAACCCAAGATTTTTCTAAATCACACAATGGTTTAAGTTGCTGAGAATAATTGCTTCAAATCAGGCTTCTGCCACGGATTCCAAATGACTTAAGGTCTGCACAGCAATAGCTGAGAAATAAGTTCATCACGAGAAGCAAAGTTCTTTGAAATGATATCAACTTATTTCATTCATATGAACTTAAGAACAGTGCTTCTGTGAATTCCTCATAGATCCTTACTACTGCAGCGTATGTTCTATTGTAACCAAGAATGGTTCAGATTTATGATCTACAACACAGCATGTATTAGAGACATCAAAAATCAAAGTTCATCTGAATCAGCACAGGAACAGAATGATAGGAGCCTCAAACACAGTGGAACCAAATAATTCCACTGTTGATGGGGAGTATGTTTAGGATTCCAGAGCTCCTCAAAACAATAATTACTGTAGCTGGATGATAATAAAAGCAATGTTTTTGTGTCCTTTTCTCAGGAGATAAAGGTATCACCATATGAGCAAGTTGAACTGTTTATTACAGAAGTTATACTTTACTATAGAATGCTTTGAAGTGACTTAAAGTGCTTTTGAACTGGTCATGCTATGAGAATATAGACGCTTTCCTGAGACTTTTAACAACTGGATTGTCCTGTCTGCAACCTGCTGCATAAAAATACTAACTTCTTAACAGCTTAACACTATTCAACCCTAAAGTTGTTTCTGCATTGCTTGTGTCAGTGCTTATGAAATACACACGATCTCTGGCTTACAATCACCAAACTTTTTTTTATTTAATAATTTATTCTTCACACCATACAGGTCACCAGATACCTTTGTTTTCTTTATATGGTGCTATTAATCCCATTCAGGCTCTGAAGCAAAAAAACGGAACAGTTTCCATCTGCTAGAACAAGAAGTCACCTCCCAACAAAGCAGTCAGATATGTTACATTCAGGTGAGCTGCTCTGACGATCCCCCTACATTATCTTGGAGTAACAGTATTACAAAGGGCTGGGATAACTAGAGACAATTCTTTGTAATCAAAATGAAAAAAGCCTTAAGCAAACACTGTGAAAGTAACTTAATCAGAAAGTTTGAAAGTAGGTCAGATTTCAGATTTCTCTTTCTGTCCACTCAACAATTTGAAATGGCCTCAATGTTACTTCTTGGTTTTGACCCCAGCATTAAACTATTTTTAACCTTTTAATTTAATGCAAAACCAAAGTGTCCTTCTACCTTTTCAGCTCTTTGATCCAGATCAGACTGCAGGGCATCATTTTCCATCGCTGTGACTGTTATTCCTACTTGAAACCTGGATTCACTGGCAGTCACAGTCAGCGATACCTGCTCACCTGGTTTGGCCCACTTACTGCTCCAGTTTAGGGTTACCTGGGAAAACGAAGTAAACATTCCATCACCAGCACTTTGAGAAAGAGTACTGTTTTGTATTTTACTTAAATAATAATAATAATAATATTAAAGGAACATATTTTCACACATGGTTGTACTGTTGGATAGAAATGTAGGTTGTGTCACTGGTAATTTCCCCATCTGAGGTGTTATAGTAGACCATGACACAGGCCTCAGGGTACCAGGAAAGCTCTGGCGTGAGAGCAATGGACGAAGAAAAGCTTTTAGTCCCAGCAGCTACCATCTGACCTTTAGAGAACACCTAGAATTACAACAAGATAAAAGAGGCATCATATTTCATGGAACCAATCACAAACTATCCTGACTTCTTTGTTCCCAGTTCAAAACGCACAGTGCCTGGCTAAAGAATTGACACCCCAGTTTCACATTCTGACTATTTTCTACCAAAAATCTTTGTGTATTTTATCAGGATTTCTTATAATATCCAAATAACAATATCACATAAATATTCTTTTGAAATAGAATATACATGGTTTTAAACATTTCTTACAAACCAAAATGAGCAGTTTTAGGTGAATTGAATACAATACCCAAAAACATCAAAAATCTATTGAACAGGGAAATACAGGCATTTCTGTAATGTATATTATAAGTCACTATAAGTGCAGCAGTTATATAAAGGCTTTACAGGCTTGTCTTACAAGCTAAAATAAAACGATAGCATTGATCAGAGGAGAAGCTAGTAGAGCCATGGTAAGTAATGAGGAGCTGCAAAGATGCGCTGCTCAGGTGGAGGATTACGTCTGCAGAGACACTCTATTATGGAGGATAAATACTGAAGGAAGAAGATGGTCTCTTCAGATAACTCTTAAGCTCAAAACACATTGTATTACCAAAGCACAAAGTTTTGGTCTAGAGAGAAGGTTAACTTTCCTTCTATATAGTGACCATTTTTATAAAGCCAGAGCTACAGTCAAATTGTTGATATAAAACTAGGGTATTAGCTTAATGGGAAGACAAGAAATGTAAGGTTTGAAATTATCGTAATATAATTGAATAAGTGCAAGTAATTTGTCTCACCAGTGCATTCGTAATGGTATTAATGGAAACCTTAAGAAAAGTCCAATAGGTATAAACACTTTTGCATTTCACTGTATGTCTGATTACATGCTATTACCATTAAATAAATAGGTAGATTTGGTGTACTTAATGCAATATTTGACAAGTTTCATCATACCACAAAATGGAGTTTCTCCAGTTTGATGGTACTCTCCACATTAAGCCGAAGTGGCAATCCAACCTGAGAGTTAATGAGATAAACCAAAAAAATATAATCTCTGATGTAATGTTAAGGCATCAATAGTACAAAATGTGTTTAAATGACCTGTGTGGGAAATCTGTTGACAGAGCGGATTTGAACATATGAGCCAGTAGGAGAGGAGTAGTTGGTGTACACCGTCAGGGTCTCCACAATGGACTGGAATTGAGCCTGAGGATAACGGTAGCAAGGAAGTTAAATTTATCTGCTCTTTTAGCTGACAAACATCGTTTTCAGAATCTGAAGCATTAAAAATGGCAAAATATTAATTTTCCTGTTTGGCCCAGTTTTATGAACTATGACTTATAGTACTCACCTGTAAGTAGAGCATCTCTACTCGATCTTGTAATTTAAACTGGATGAGTACATTGCCATTCTCAGGCACAGGCAGAGTTAGACTCATGGTTGTTGAGTTTATTGAAGAGGTTTTCTGTGTGATCTGAACCACAGCAGAGTGCTTCAAATCCAACGAGCTGAGAGACTTTCTGTCATATCTGACAATCCGAAGCTGAGGAATGCAAGGGAAGAATAATATGCAGGGGTTTCAAATACTAATTATAATAAATTCCTTTATTGTTCCACATTGGGGAAATTAACTCTCTGCATTTTGAGCCATCCCCTTGGGGAGCAGTGGGCTGTCATTTTTCGGCACCCAGGGAGTAGAGTGGGGTTAAGGTTTTTGCTCAGGAACCCAGGGTGAAGGCGTTGCGGATCGAACCGGGTTCTTGCAACCTTCTCAGAGCACAAGCACACTGCTCTAACCACTAGGCCTACACCCCCTACAACAGTTTAAACAGTGATGATATGTAATTTCAGAAATGAGTCAACTTACATTTGCTGAGAAGTTTAGGGATGGCTTTAAAGTTGATGGGAAGTTGAGAAACATGAGCTGGAATTTGTTTTGCAATATATGGACTTCCATGGTTTTGTCCACGGTATGTCCTGCAGCCACAGCAACAGAAACAAAAATGCTGTATTAATGCAACAGAATTGTATTAAAATTAAAGCTTAAAACGAAATGTACCTGTGGAGTTATCATTGATCTGGGCAGCAATGTATAGAACGTGACTTCTATTGCTAGTTGCTGAGGAGGAGTACAGAGACTGAAGGTGATCTCTGCTGAATAAAAACTGTGCTGACCCATAGATCTGAAAGGGGTGCAGTAAATATATCATTTTCTGAACTTCCATTGGTTTACATTTAACTTTGCATAGATGATAATCAGTTAAAATCACACCTGCTTGGTTTGGGTCTGCAGAGATGGAGAGGTTCTGTTGCTTATAAAAGGCTTCAGGGTAACAACTAATGTGCCACGAACAGGTTGTCCATCAGGATAACTAAAATAAAAAAAAAAATCACTTATTAGGAGCACTCATTCAATTGCTTGTGATTGGCTTATTCCCTACTTATGTAGGGAATAAGCCAATCACACTGGAGCAAATCTGTGTATTAAGACATGGATACACAGAGAAAATAACATGCTTAAGTGAAAAACAAACATGAAAATGGAAAAAAAAGGGTATTTAGGTGCATTTATATGGAATTTCTACTGGGAGTTTAAGCACAACCATGTTACAATTTCATTTCTGATATGCAAAAGTCTTATGAAGATTCCTTGTTAATATCAGATAACAGGTAGATGGATTTGTGTAAAAAGCGTGGCACAGGTAGTCCAAGCAACCTGTTAGTATGTGGAACACTATGTTGAGGGTAGAGCTATGGCCCCTGTGGCCCCCACTTCCAGGTGACTTGTTGTTAGCGTGTGGATGTAATTCACCACATCAGACAAAAGCAGTTCCCCTTTAGAACAGAGGATGGCAGCAGTGATACTCTAGAGTAGAACGTCAGAACTAATTACACATGTTATGTTTTACTAGATTGACCATACAATGACGACAACAATATAGTACTTAATTGTTCACATCAACATACTAACAATAAAGACAAATATAGACAAATATAGAATTCCTGCTCTTTTTAGAGTTGTTTCTTTGTCTTTTCTCTGTATACGTTATGAGTCTCTGCAGCCATCTAGGAGTCTTTCAGATATAACCAGAAAGCATATATGTACACTGGAAACAATTAAAATCTAGATCAGTCATTCTTTCTTAGAATAAGTGCATTTGTTTTTAGATTGAGGAGGTAAAAGATACATTTTGACAATGGAACAAGATAATTTACACTTAAAATAAGAAAACACAATTGCATTGTCTTATTTCAAGCGCATGTTATCTAACTATCTTACTTTAAGAGTACAATACTCATTCCATTTGCAGATCATCTTATTTACCAGCTTAAATTAAGGGTAAATACTAGTGTTGCACCGATACCAGTATCGGGTGGGGCCCCGATCCAGCACTGGTGGCATCGGTATCGGCGAGTACCAACAAATAGGGCACCGATACCATTTTGAGAGCCAAAAATGTATTCAACTATTGTCACCCATTCCAGGTAGGCAATAAAAAATTCTACTGGATTCACTTTGTATTTCTCCAAAGCAGGGAAGATTAAACAAACATCACCCGGCATAGCGTGTCTAAGTTTCTTAATATTCAAATTGCCGAATTCATACTTTTAGGTAAACAACATTAAAGCATGGATCCAAACCGGCCTTGTGTAAACTACAGAGGCTCTTGGTTGTGTTAGTGGATGAGGGTGTTTTTCTGGGCCCACTTTGAGTCCTTTCATACAAGCTGAGTATTGCTTAAACACTACAGCTAACCTGATTGTCAGATAATGCAACGAATACTGTCATTTTAGAAACTGTGATATGCAGAAAAAGCCCACTTCCATGCTGCCTAGACTCAGTATGAACAGAACCGACAGTTTCTAAGACAATTCTAACAGAATGCAATGCAAAAAAACATTGGGAAGAAACCTCAAGCTGATGCTGAAACAGAGTTTAAAGAGCAACCGATGACATAACAATATTTGTTCCAAATAAACTCACAGTGCTCTCACTGATCCAGAGATGTTATCACCAAGAAGGACTCGAGAGGATGTTTTTACCATCACATCAAATGGACGAGGCTGCGCATCTGTCAGACATGAGATTAGGAAAGTTACACGTCTGATATGTTCACTGTTTTTAACAGATGTGCTCACCTGTGTTTGTTGAAAATATTCTTTTGAATGGGTAAACATGTTCTCTATGTTGAAACTAAAATTATTCTACATTTTTTCATCATTGAAAGTTCTGAAACTAATGGTATTTCCATTATAATAATGTAAAAATAGCAGTCAGATCAATGTTTAAATCTGTATTTAACTTTTCATTTCTGTTGTTTTTCTCAGCAATTGTGTGTCATAAATCCAAAATAAGTTACATTTAAAAACATGTTGACATTCTAACATTGTCTCTCCTCTGCTTTCCACTAGTTGATGCAGAAATTGCACGATGTTGCCTTTCTTCATTTTACAATCAATAATTTAGGTTAGTTAAAAAGTAAAAAAACTAAAATAAGTTAAATTAAATTGATTAAAAAACACTTTGAATGTTGTCAAAAGTATAATTGGTGATTTTAACAAGTAATATTGTAATAGGAAGAGTCATTACCGTGATGCTCAACAACGAAGGATTTCTCATCCGTTATTCCCTGTAAGCATGAAAAAGGGCACATTTTTTTTTATTTTTGAGCACAATACTTTAATGCAGTAGAGTAAAGCTAAAAAAAAGACTTAATTTCTTAACTGCTGAACTGTTGAAAAAAAAAAATATATATATATGTATATATCTAAATCCTGTCAGACTCTGCATCACATTAATAACACCAAACAAATATACTGCATATTTGCACCATGTATATTAATGCTCGGAACTTCCATACCATAATAATGTGTTTTTATTGCATCATATTTTTTCTCCCACTCTGTTTTCATTTGATCACAGCTGCACTTTATGGAAAGGAAATGTTCATATACGGTCTGAAAAGCTGCACTTAAGTAAATTTTGTTTTGTGTACACTCTGTGTTTACAAAATGACAATAAAAGTTGTCTAAATCATTTGAGTTTTCAAGCCTACATTCACTGTTGTTGTGATCACCCACTGCCCGAGATGAGAGGACTGGGGTAAAGTAAATTCTTTGAAGACAATCCCGAAATTCCCAGAGGAGCTCCAGTCATCAACAGGTTTCCCCCTGGGATCCTATGGGACAAAGGAACATTCCACAAGCTTCCCACCTGACTGAAAACTGTTTTTTTTTTTTTTTTTCTGGAGATCGGAAAACTTACCAGTAGTGAAATTCCCACTTTGCCTGTGTATGGTTTATTATCCAGATGGAAAGAGACCACCCTGACTTTGACAGTGTCCCCAAGCTCATAGCTTGATCTGTCAGTTTGTATGAAGGAGGTAACCGTCCGCAGGTTGAAGAGGAGGGTAGTAGTGTTTGTAAAAATGAGGCGATTCTCCCTGTAACCCCACACTGTTAAGTTTAATAGCGAATTTTGTGGTAAGGAGCCAGGAAACTGTAAAATTGTTCAGAAAAACAAAATCAAACTTATCATTTAGAGGATTTTGCTTATTTTGACTTGGGGAATGAAATAAAATAAAGTAAAAAGTAACCCTCACAGGTGGAAGTATGAGGACAAAGGTGGCACCTTCAACGAGACACAATTTTAGTTTTCACTTCTCATTTAAAAAAGTTATAGACAATGCAAACTTGAGTTTGTAAAACTGTAGTGTCACCTCCTTGGAAGTCCTCTGTTTTGGTTACTGTAGTGTTTCCATGTGCCAACTCAGCTGTGAAATTACCAGGGAAGTCGGTAAAAACCGTGACAGCAAAGGAAGTGGGTACACCAGCATGGAGGACCTCTGGACCAGAGATCAAAAACAGTGGTGAACCAAAACTGAAAGAAGAAAAATGTATTTATGAAACATGCTGACTTTAATGGCAATAAAACTGAATTCAGAATCAACAAAGCTACTCACTTGTGTGTATCTTGGGTGAAGCCAGAAACAGCAAAAGATAGAAGGAGGGTCCAGATTCTTTTCATGTTGCCGATGTCGATCTCATTTACAATTTCAACTTCAGTTTCTCTTTCCCTAACTGTGTTTAAGAAAACCCGTCTGACCTTCCGAGGGACACCGCTTCAACACCTGCCCCAACGCTCACCACAAGTCACACTCATGTTGTTGCACAACGATTCTTTGACAAACTGACAGGCAGACCGGGATGTCCTCATATTGTTAGTTCCTTTGCCCAGAGGGACATGTCTCATGTTTCTGGCCATTCATACTGTTGCCTAAACCTTACTTCATGAATAATCCATGTCAGACACCATGAATGTATTAAAACACACAGCTTTCTACAAGATATGTGTCACGACACCTTCTTTTGGTGAGTTATGTCTGGATATAGTAAATATTTATGTCACCACAAACTCACCTCTCTTTTGTCCCTTCTAAAGCCATGAGCTTCATGGTATCATGTTGAGACTCTTCAAGATCAAAATTAGTAAATAATTGTTATGTTGAATAAAAAATATACATAATTTAATATAAAACAATGAAATGTGGGAATGCCCAATATTAAGCAGTATTGCTATCAATTCAATTATTTTTCCTAGCAGAGGTAAATCATCCTCACAGCATGATGATGCCACCATGTTTCATAGTAATGAATTCATGACAATCTGCAGCTTTTATTTTCAGCCACATATCGCATTTTCCAGGTAGCCAGAATTTGATTTAGGTCTCATTCAACAGCAGCACCATCGTTATTGGAATGCCCCCTCTTGGCAATGGGGAACTCAAAACTGGACTTTTGCCTTTAGTCAACAATCCTCCTTGGTTTTAGTCCACAAAGGCCAAATCTATGAAGTGCGTGGCTGTTTAGCTACTCTCTCTTCTGAGCTGTAGATCTCAGCAGCTCCCTCAGAGCTACCATCTTCCTATTGGCTGCTCCGGGGATTGATTTTCTTGCCAAACCTATCTGTTTAGGGCAGGGGTCACCAACGCGGTGCCCTCAAGGACCACATGGGGGGCCCTCAGAGTCTTCCAAATGAAGAACAACCCACCAGTGGGCTAAGTTTGAAATTTTATTTTATTCTGTTGCTCTTCTTTTTAATCATTTATAGAGATTTCAAAATGACAATGTCTAAATAAACTTAGAAATGAACAGAAATAATAAAAATATGTTGATAATGAACAAAGTTTAGGCTAACGCTAACCCTTGCAGCTCATGGCTCAGTAATGGTCGCCCTTCCTACGTCTTGGTACCCTTGAAGTGGCCCTCAGCCTTAAAAAGGTTGGTGACCTCTGGTTTAGGGTGACATCCATGTTTTAAAGGGGTCATAGAATGCAAAACCGAGTTTACATTGTCATAGATGAATAACGATAGTTCAGTGGGTAAAGTAGACGTACAGAGGAGTTCAAACCCCATCAACACCTCCTTTCTCTGCAAATCTCACAATTCTAGATTTCCACCATAAAACAGGCGAATCCAAACGAAGCCCAAAATTGACGTAAACTCTGGGATGTTTCCTTATTTGGTTCTGGCCTGTACTTTTGTCACGCCCTGAAATTGACCTACAGACCAGCCCACTGGTTCAATGGCCCAAGAACATGAATAGAGGTAGATGTAAGGGACCAGTTTAGCTGTTTAGCCTACAGTTTGGTTTACTTCTACGAGAATTACAAAGCAGGCAGTTTCTCTATTAAAAATTAGCCAGAACCAAGGGGAAGCAGCACGGTGCCACCGGTGTCCAGGTTACCACCACTGGGTCGGCTTCGGTAGCTCCGTCCCCCGCTTGCTCCCTGCCTCCGTCCGCAGGGGTTCCAGGACCAGCCCCGGAGCTGATAACTTGGTTCGAGCGCCTGGTGTGTTTCGACTACGTGCTGCACCAGACGATTTTGAAATTCCTCCTGTACATTTTTTTAGGTATGAAAAGAAGGACGTGTCTGGACGTGCAGGTGACCCAGTGGTTAGTGCGCACCACCCAACGGAGGCCTTAGTCCTTGACACGGATGACCCGGGCTCAAATCCAACCTGTGATCCTTTGCTGCATGTGTCTACCTCTCTCTCATACCCCCTTTCCTGTCAGCCTACTGTCAGAAAAATGAGCCACTAGTGCTGTAAAAACTCAAACAAAAAAAAAGAAAAGAAGGACATGTCTGGGGAAAAGCGGACGTTTAGTCACCCTACCATATCAACTACCTCGATGTTTCAGTGAGTGAGTGCTTGTTGCTATGATGCGTCTTTGCTCAACAGCTTCGCTCGTTGTAAACCAATCAATCAGTTCACAGCTCATCTAAATATTCATGAGCATACAATAAAAGGAAGAAAACATCTTATTTTATTCTAGGGCTTTTAACCAGGCTTGCATTAGGGCTCATAGAACAGCAAATATGCAATTTTCAGCCCAACCAATGTTACACACCCTATTCAGAGACCTTAAGGACCAGCACCAAATACCCTATAGAATCATTCTATCACCCCTTTAAACATGACTTCCCCACTTTATCTGGTTGGTATCCTGGTCTTCATGATACTGTTTGCAAACAGTTTTAACAGACATCTGTCCTCACTGGACAGAGTTTAAATTAGATTCAGGTGAAATCCTCTGAAGAAAATTGGATGCATATCATTCTGTTGTATCAGAGTAAAGGGATTGTGAAAAATTACAATCTACTTCTGCAAATTGTTATTAAAATAAAAAAAAGAAATTATGGTTTACCCTTAGCTTCACAGTGATGCATGAATTCTTCTTCAAATCTATCAAATAAAATCCCAATAAAACACATTTTTGTAGTCTTAAAATGAAAACAAGTAAAGTGGACATAGGTAATGTCCTTAATGACTTTCTTTAAATAAAAACTTTTTGAATTCAAAAATAAAATTTTGGTGCTGTTGCCACAATAACAGCTGCATTAGAATAGGAGCTGACAGTCAAGCATGATGAAGTTATTGACCGGGGGAGTGAATGATTTTATACCAGGAAATGCCAGAGTTTGATGTAGTACATTAATTCTGCCAGCAGATGGTAGTAAAGGTTTGCCTTTTAAAGACAAAGGTCCACCCAGCTCCAGTTGAAAAGCCTTAAAGACCATAAATGGATATTTTTCACACTAGTTACATATTGACATATTTTACAGTAAGTATAACAGATTTCAACACACAAAAAAACTTTGGCAATAAACTCAGCTGAGGTTTGAAGGAACGGCAGCAATTTTGAATAAATGAAAAAGCAGAAAAAAGGTGAGATGGTGTTGAAACTGGATTTAAAAGCTTGTCAGGGCAAGTATTTGTCTTTTCTATGTTGGCATTTTTGTATTTCAGATCTCACAGCAGTGAACTGAATCTGGCAGCCCTGTGTTATCACATGGGGATCTCATTTTCTACTTTAAGTTACATTTGTAATTTATCGTTACTTTAGACCAGTTAAGAACCATTATTTCAGTCAGTTTCATCCTGTGTGATACAGTTTATCCCTAAAGTGACAATTTCCTCCAAAAAGTTATCGCAAGGCACTTTACAAGACGAACAAATACTATTTATATGCACAAATATATAGACAAATCAGTCAATGCATAAACATGGGTTTAAGTTAGGGGCCACAAATGTTAATTTAACTGAAGTTTTGTTTTGTTCAATGCATATGGGAAACAAACTGGATAAAGGTTATTTGTGTAAGGAAGCCCAGCAATTATATGAAGTTATTAACTTCAAAGAAACTCTTCCTGAGCAAACGTGGAGACTAAAATGCAATATGTTGCTACCATTGCAGCAATCTCTCATCTTGAGCAAGCATGTTCCAACAGTGGAAAGGAATAGCTTCCTGTGAACAAGCAAAAACCTAAAGCCTCTGAAAGAACCCAGATTAGTCACACACAGCAAATACATCTTGAAGCGCACATCCAATGCTGCGTTTTCACAGGTATATGCCTACAGAGTTGGCTAGTATTAAGAACATATGAACCAGTGAAGTACCAGTGTGGAGACACTCACAGTCATGGGCGTAGGTTTGCATAGGGACCATAGGGACATGTCCCTACCAAAATTTTGAACAGACCTAATTGTCCCTACCAATAATTGGATGTGAGCAACATGTTTATAATTTACAGCAGTAGTTGTTGCAGCAGTGGCTTCTTTTCCTCTCGCAGCTCCTCTGCCTGGTCTCTCCTGTCCCTTTCATGTAGCAGCGCATGGAACTGTGCTGCGCTGGTTAACTCAACTCTCATTGGTTGTTCTGCCTTAAGTTCCGCCTTCTCTCTCTCTGATTGGCTGTTTTCTAGTCCACGTGTGCTTGGAGCACAACATTGAAAATTTATTCACACTAGAATGCAGCGGTTACTACAATTAATATTAGGCTACAAAACTAGTCCCAATGGAAAAAAAAATGAATATCATGTACACTAAAAAACAAAACCCTTTTTTTCTTTTATAAAACGAAATATTCTGAGTCAGCCAGGTATGGAAGCCCGTTTCTATGGAAGCCCGTTTCCGCCACTCTGTAAAAAAAAAAAAAAAAAAAAAAACTATCTCAATATAATGAGATACTATCTCATTATATTGAGTTACTATCTCATTATAATGAGTTACTATCTCATTATAATGAGATAGTAACTCAATATAATGAGATAGTATCTCATTATATTGAGATAGTTTTTTTTTTTATTTTTTACCAATTTTTTAAGTTAAAATTGAGTATTTTTGGTCAATAGCTCCCAGGTCATGTGACCTATTGACCCAAAATCCGTGTGAAATTGTTCTACTAGTCTCTGTAGATGGGGCACACTCATTTGTTTTTCATTTTAACTCTTTTTTTATTTTTTACCAATTTTTTAAGTTAAAATTGAGTATTTTTGGTCAATAGCTCCCAGGTCATGTGACCTATTGACCCAAAATCAGTGTGAAATTGTTCTACTAGTCTCTGTAGATGGGGCACACTCATTTGATTTTCTTTTTTACTCTTTTTTTATTTTTTACCAATTTTGTTCGTTAAAATTGAGTATTTTCGGTCAATAGCTCCCAGGTCATGTGACCTATTGACCCAAAATCAGTGTGAAATTGTTCTACTAGTCTCTGTAGATGGGGCACACTCATTTGTTTTGCATTTTAACTCTTTTTTTATTTTTTACCACATATGGACACCCTTATGCTTGAACATAACAAAATAAAAAAAGAGTTAAAATGAAAAACAAATGAGTGTGCCCCATCTACAGAGACTAG